AGCTGTAATGGCACAGCTCTATTCTGGAAAAGGGCAGTAGCTCATTTGCATTTAAAGAGACAGGCATGATAAACAGCGTGTTTCTGCTTCCACTCAAAATAGGCATTTTCAAAATGATATAATAAATGATTTGTGGAGTATTTTGGGCTGACACTTCACAGACACATTCTGGGGACACCTGAGACTTATATTACATATTGTAAAAAGGGGCATAATATGTCTCCTTTAAGGGTCAGTGGAGTCTTTACCTCGTCCTCCTCCGGCAGGAGCTTCAGCAGCTCTCTGAGAGACTCCACGCTGAAGACGCCTGTGTTTCCACGAAGAATATCATCCAGAAGACTCTCACTGGACCTGGACATACAGAGAATCAATGAGAGCAGACGAATAACACACACACACACACACACACACGATACACTCTTACTTTTTGAAGTGTTTCAGAAAAATGCAGACATTCAAACTTCTCTTGGAGTCCAGGATGGTGATCTAAGGAGAAGCACACACACACACACACACACACACACACGCACACACGCACACACCCGCACGCACGCACACACACACACTCACACACACGCACACACACACACACTCATACTCATAAATGCTGTATGTTGTAATATAAATCTCATCACTAACATCATCAAACCAGTGTTGCTTTACTCTCATTAATATAATATATACTGTGATAAGTTTTGAATTAGATTTTATGTTTTCTATTTTCATTTTACAACTTTTTACCAAGTTTGTTTCATGTTTTGTCAGTTTTTTTTTCTGTCTATACAGTATATTTTCCATTAAAATTTGGAAGATTTAGTAGTTTTGTTGTGCTTTTGTCGTTTGTATTAGTTTTTGTTAGTTTTAGTAGTTTTTTTATAAATATTTACATTGTTTTTATTAATATTTGGATTGTTCAATTTCATTTAATATTTTGATTATTCATTTTCATTTTAGTTCGTTTTAGTCATTTTTTGTGTTTTTGTCAGTTTATTAATGTCTACATAGATATAGAGATATATATTTTGAATGAGTTTTATATATTTTTAACCTTCATTTTACTTTTAGGTGAAGTTTCAGCAGTTTGTTGGTTTTTTTGTCATTTTTATGATTATTATTGATTTTTTTTATTTTATTAATTTTCATTTTAGTTAATGTTTTAGTAATTTTTTAATGTGTTTTTTTCAGTTTTTAATTTTTTTATCAACATTTACATGTATTATTATAAAGTACATGCAGTTATTAATGTTTTGAATTTTTATTTATTTTAATTTTAAAATTTAGTCGTTTTGTTGTTTTTGTCATTTTATTAGCTGTTGGGTTTTTATATCTATACAGTTTTTACTAATATTTAGAATTATTTTTTCTTTTTAATTTAACATTTCTCATTTTGTTGTGTGTTTTGTCCGTTTTTTATTTAATGTCTAAATATAGCTTTTTAAATAATATTTTGAATGAGTTTTTTATATGTTCTGTTTATGTTAATTTTAGTGGAATTGCTGTTAATGGTTTGAGTTTGAGTTAACTCTGCATCAAACCTCCTCTGATCTCAGTAGAGCTCACCTGCGGCCTGAGATCTTTCTCAGAAGCGTGTCTTCGTCCGATCACACAGCAGGTTGTTGTGAACGAGGGTGTGTCCTCGTATCCGAACAGCTCCTCGATGGCTCTGATGTCGATGTGGAACGGATCTCTGCTGCTCCACAGGTTCGGCCCGTTCTGCTGCTTGACACGATCTTCAGGAATCGGTTTCCAGTAGAAGCTCCTCACCCTCCTCTTCCTCCCCGCAGGGTTTCTCACAGGAAGGGGCGGGGGAAGGGGAGGAGCCAGAGGTGGGATGCTTCGAGGGGCTTGGTCATATAATGAGGGAGGAGATGCAACAACCCCGCCCTCTTTCTCAAAACTGCTGCTCATAGTAGAAGGGGATGTGGGCGGGGTCAGAAGATGATTGACAGCTTGAACACCAACATGAAGATCCAATGAGCTCAAACAACAAACAGAAGCTTCTGTAATACGAGAAAAACAAAACACAACTCAAATTTCTTTTCCTAAATGAATACAAAGCATAAGAGTATCTTCTAAATGCATCAAACAGACTCATTCCACTGGTTGATCCAGAATTTGGCTGTTTAAACACCTTCAGTTCAGGGATGTTTCTATGTTCTTTCAGAAACGAGAAGAATATCCCACGTGCAAACGCTCATTAAACGACATAATGAACCCGCTGGCATCATTCACACACAATCAAACACACTTCAGTGCAGACACAAACCCAAACATAACACAAATATGCTCCTATCAAGGTAAAAATGTGTTATTTCTGAATGTTCTCTAAACATTCATAAAATGTATTTTAAAATTTAAAAAAAAAAATGTTCTTGGCTATTGTCAAGGGAACATTCCATTTGATTCTTTTGCAAACATTATGGGAACGTTACTTTTGAATGTTCTGAAACAAATTGTAACATTCCAAAAAGTTACTTGAACATCCAACTACAACATTTCAGGAACAAAAAACATCCCATGAATGATGTATAAATAAAAATTTTGTGCTAATGATTTGAAAGCATTATTAAATACCAGAGACGTTTGAAAGAATGTTCTATTAATGTTACTGGAAGAACATTTGTTCATAAATGTGATAAAACTTGCCAGATTGTTCGCTGTTAGCTGGAAACACAGAGACTCTCTCTGGACCGAATGAATGCCAAATTCATCATAGTTTCATTGTTTTCTATAATGCATAGAATGCTTGTCCTGAATGATGCATGAGCAGTCACATAAGGAAGAGCAATGAACATTTATGTGCTGAAAATACTTTAAATCGTTCATAAATGAAAGAAATTACAAGTGTTATAAACTAAACTAAACCAACCTTTTCACAGACACCTTTTGGGAGTTTAATTCATATATTTAATCACATATCTTCACATACTGACATTATGTGATCTTCATGCTTGTATAATATATAGCATATTTAATAATACTTTGAATTAGTTTTTATTTCTCTAGTTTAAATTTAATTGTAGTAAATCTTTAAGCTTGCATGAGATATATTTTATTAATATTTTGAGTTTTCATTTTAATTCTAATCTTTATTTTTGCATGAGATATATGGCTAATCATATTTTGAATTCGTTTTTTTATTTTTCATTTTAGTAAATCTTTATGCTTGCATGAGATATATTATTGTTATTATTATTATTATTATTTGGAATTAGTTTTCATTTTAAAGTTTTAGTAATTTTTTTACTATATATATAGTTTAAATATTGTATATTTAAACATAAAATTTCAGGAAAACTTAAAAAAACAATTGTCTTAATGTATCGTGATTAATCAGTTGGGTGAAGCATGGTGATATTTGTTAAGTTTTAAGTTTTTTCTTATCAGACAAGTGAACCAACAACTAACCAGTAAACACAACTAAACAGCTGAACCCTGAAGATAACGCGCCTCTGTCTTTGTATTCGCTTCTGTTACACACTAATATTTAATCTATTAGTTCCTCATGAAAACGATAATACATAACACAGTGTAATATATTAACACACTGTTCAGTGAGGAAGAAAATAAACTCACCTTTGTGTTAATGATGTTCTTCATTCACAGCACGATCCAAATGCTCCTGTGACAGAAATCATCTGAATTATGAAAGGATATCATATTTTCATAACTATACGATGAATGATATTACATTAGGCTACCTGTACTCCATTAAAATCCGAGGCGTGTGAAGGTTCTGTGAATCCGGCAAGTCTGACAGGAGCTCTTATATTTTATATTAATACAGAATCATCTACTGCAGAGTTGTAGACATCCACAAGAGAGAGAGAG